GGGGGGGGGGGGGGGGGGGGGGGGGGTATGTGTTTGCAAATCTGAGAAGAATGCCTACAAAATGAGAGAGAGGATCTTGGACATTGGTTTGGTGGAAGGAGGTTATGTTCTTGCAAATTTTCAGGTTCCTTTCAAATAGGTTAATAGTAACTTAATACTACTTAACAGTACACTTGGTATACAGTGTATAGTCCTGTATACAGACTTGCAAAAATGTATTGTATCAATTTGTATGGAATTTAAGGATAGTATACACTCTTGCAAATGGGTGGTGATTAGCCATGTATGTCCTGTCCAGATTCAACAGGTAACTAAATTGGTTGGACTTCTAAGAATTAGTCTTTGGGAAAAAAGAAAAAGAAAAAGTTATACACTTGCAAGTTGCAAGTGGGGGTGATTAGTTTGTTCGCACTAGATATACACACTTGCAAGTGTGTAAAGTTGTAAACCCATTCACTACCCACTTATGTGCAAGTGTGTCTATATACTATCCAGGGTATCCACCCATTCTTTGGATGACTGGATACACACTTGCAAGTGTGTATCCAGTTGCAAATTGGTGGTGGATACACACTTGCAAGTGTGTATCGGTTGCAAATGGGTGGTGGATACACACTTGCAAGTGTTTATCCAGCTGCAAATGGGTGGTGGATACACACTTGCAAGTGTGCAATCCATTTACTACACATTTATTTGCAAGTGTGTCTGTATACTATCCATTCATTGTGTCTGCCCATTCTTTGGATGACTAGATACATACTTGCAAGTGTGTATGCAGTTGCAAGTAGGTGGTGGATACACACTTGCAAGTGTGTATCTAGTCATCCAAAGAATGGGTGGATAGCATACACACTTGCAAATGGGTTTGATGAACAAGGGATGCATCTCTGCAAATGGGTGGGTTGGGTATAGTTGCAGAAAAGAATAGGTGGAGGGTACAACTGCCCAAAAAAATGGGGGGGAAAGTTGGGAAATGTCTCCGCAAAAGGGTGATTGTTGGGTACAGTTGCAAAAGAATGGGTGGAGGGTGCAGTTTGCATTGTATCCATGATCCAATCTCAAGAATCGAACATGCGACCTCCCACATGGGAGTTGCAGGCACACTCAACCAAACGGCTTGCACAGAAAATTGCTGATGGGTACAGCTATTGCTGGTGGGTACAGCTGCAACAGAATGGGTGGAGGGTACATTTGCCCAGCAAAATGCGGATGGCGTACAGTTGCAAAAGAATGGCTGGAGGGTACAGTTGGGGGGGAAAAATGGGTGGGTGGAGGGTATAGTCGCAAGAGAATGGGTGGCTCGAGGGTGCAGTTGGGGGAAAAAAAAGGTTGGATGGAGGGTACAGTTGCAAGAGAATGGGTGGCTGGAGGGTACAGTTGCAAAAGAATGGGTGGCTGGACGGTATAGCTGGGGGGGAAAAAAAAAAAAATGGGGGAAACATCTCTGCAAAAGGATGATGGTGGAGACAGTTGCAAAAGGATGGATAGATCGATTGATTAAATTCCTACACCCAAGTGGGCTCTCGAACTCCGAACTTGCATGCTGGAGGCATCCATTACCTGCATTTCATTTATTTTGTACTCGAGCAGACACTTTGCGTCTGATCTATACTAGCCACAGTGGAGCCAAAGGCGCAACGCGAAAAAAAGCAGAGGCCTCTAGTGGGGTGGATGGATGGGCCTATGCGATTGCTAATGGGGTAAATGCATCGATAGAATTGCAGTGGATGGATGGATGGATGGATAGAGGGAACGGCAAAAGGGTGGGATATACACTTTAATTCCAAATGCAATATGTAGACAATTCCAAATGTGAGGTTGCACACACTTCAGGAGGGGAGGAGTGGTAGTTTCGGTGTAATACTCCCACCTCGGCCACTAGGACTTTTTCCCACAAGATGTATGCGACTGCAATTACAACCAGGTGCTGTTGGGAAAAGTCTTCTGTGTGATTATGCCTTTTCTCGGAAAAAATTTGTGAGTGCTTTCACATCAATCCACAGCTCTGAGCAATGGTAGGTAGGTAGGTACCATTGAGCGAAAGGTGAAGAACTGCACTACCGTCTTCACCCGACTAGAATGGAATGCCCGGTTATTATCGCTGTATGTAGACTGAAAATTGCACCAAATACAGCTATAATGACCTCGTTCTATTCGGGGCTTTCTATTCGGGTAACGACGGTAGCTTCTGAACAAAGGTGCCCGGTAAGCCGTAGGCAGAGAAGGAGAAGAGGACAACAAACGAGGGGCTGCGACACACTGTTTGGTCACCTACTCATCAGGAGGCTGAATCTATACATGTAATATAGATATCTATATATAGATATATATATAGATACATATATATAGATATATATAGATACATATATATAGATATATTTCTCTATGAAATATATACATATCGTCAAACCGTCGTCAAACAGAACTGCCCGGTAAACCGTGGGCAGAGAGGGAGACGAGGACAAGGAACTACCTAGGGGCTGTGACAAACTGTTTCGTCGGAGTTTCATCAGGAGGCGGGAAAGCGAACTGCAACCAAAGGCAAAAAATTATAGCATATACTCATACTACGACTATATGAAGTGTGCTTAACCGCGATTACGTCCACGTTCGCCGACCTTAGTCTACAAAATGATGATTTGACCTTTGCCTACCAAACTATGATTTGTTATTAGCCATCGCGTCAAGGAAACGTGAAAAAAAACAAAAAAAAAAACAACGAAATATGATATCAGAAACTACTACCGCTGCGCCAAAACGAGACGATTGCTTGTCACCGATAATGGACGAAGACGACAAAGGGGGGAGGGGGGGGGAGGGAATCCTTGCCACAGACGGAAGCAGGAACCCAAGATCCCGACCGATGCATGCGGATATCGACTGCAAGGACACCAGAAAACAAACATTTATTTGTTTTTTTGCCCTGCTAACATGTGGCAGGCCCTCGCTTGGTTTTTGCTTGGGGGAAAAGACCCTTACAACGAGAGTGGTAAAGGTGACACGCGGCGCCAGAGCAGAGATCGTCGAACGGCTGCCACGTAACCTGGTTGCCTGCCTCATTTTGCCACGTGTCACCGTGCCATGTCTGCCATGGGTTAGCGTGTCAGCGTGTCAGCGTGTCTGCCACGTGCCGCCTTGTCTTGTCTGCCACGCGCCGGCGTGCCGTGTTTCCCACATGGCCCGATCGGCGAGCGGCTGCCACGTGTCAGCGTGTCGTGTCTGCCACGTGGTAGCACGGACAGCGCCTAAGCATTGTTTCACTGACTGTCGCAGATAATGCAGCAGTCAAAACAACGACTGTACCTTCTTCCCCCGAATACAACGTACGGTCATTATAGAGCTGTATTTGAGGCATGTTTCAGTCTAGATACAGCTATAATGACCGTACGTTGTATTCGGTGGAACAAGGTAGCTCGGTCGGTACACCATTGAAATACAGACCTCAGTTCAATCTAGATGATGGGTACGTTGTATTCGGGGGAACAAGGAAGTTGACAACCCAACCATAGATAGAAATGTAAGGAAGCGAGCAAAGATGCCATGCCAGCCGCAATGAGGGGCAGGATTGCTGCCCACCAGCTGAGATAGTTGGGTTGCTCTCCCCCCCGTTCTCGTCGGCATTGGTAGGGACTTTTGCCCTCACGGGTGTGTGTTGTTTGTGTGTGCGGGGGGGGGAGGGGGAGGGGAGGGGGGGGATGCAGAGAGTGTTTGTCCTCCTTAGACACTGCTGTTACTCGATGGGGTTAGGGGAGAGTAGATGGGAGCTGTAGCAACTGGCAAGATGCTCGGTCTTTGCGTTAGCCTCCCCCACCCCTCCATCACCGGCGCCCCCCCCCTTCACTCCCTGACCACAGCGGATTAGGGTGGGGGGGCAGCATGCATCATTACATCCCCCCCCGTAATTGTGAGATGAAGCTGTGCTTGCAGGGGTCGCCTGTATAGTCTTAGGAGGGGTAGTGGTAGGTAGGTAGTGAGAGATGAATTAGAGAAGAAAGAAGAAAGAATATAGCTTAGTTAAAGGGGAAAGGAAAAGAAAAAAAAAAGGAGACACCGGCACCTCGACACGTGACAAGTGTGGGGGGTGAGGCTGGGGAGGGGGGCAAGGAGGAGGGGGGGGGGGGGGGGGGGATGATGACACGTGGCGGGCAGGCAAGTGGGCAACGAGGGAGGTAACGTTCGAACGGGCTAATTGACTGGAGACGGGGTGGACACGTGGCAGAGGGCGGGGGAGAGGATACGTACACCTAGCGGCCTAAACCAAAATCTGCTATGGCCAGCACCTCCATGAAGGTGCGGAAACGACAAAAGACAGAATTACTGAACTTAAAATTACGTATGGATAAGATTATAAAAGCCACGTGGCGACGGATCGGATAAAACGGCTTGCCCCCCAACATCGATGCATCATATATACAAGATATAGATAGACTAGTTATAGTTAGCAAACCCCCCTGACCATCCCAGAATGACACTGACTATTATCCCAGGGTGCCAAAAAAAAAAAAAAAAAAAAAAAAAGAAGGATGACCCGGTAAATTTACATTCCTATTCCTTCATTCATTCTTTTTCTTTTTCTTTTTCTTCTTTTTTAATTTGGACCATTTGTCGATTTATGTGTGTCATTCATTCAATGTTTTTCTTTTTCTTTCTTTTTTTCCTTTTTTTTTTCTTTTTTTTTTGGACCATTTGTCAATTTATGTGAGACATCCTTGCGCCTGTCTCTTATACACATCTAGATGTGTTTTGTCAATTTATGTGAGACATCCTTGCGCAAGGGCCATGGTAATCTTCTCTCTCTGTATGGTTCCAATTTTAACCGGGGGGAAAAAAGCATCATTCATTCACTGTCAGTGACGGGTGTTTCGAAATCTCAAGGGGATAAATGGCTGGCTCGTATTGCTGCCTTGCTTTGTATTCTTTTGACTTGAAATCATCAGAGCATACTCACACTAGGACTTTTTTTACCTGATCTGGACGTGATTGCAGTCAGATGCTGTCTCTTATACACATCTAGATGTGTATAAGAGACAGGTCGTGAATATGCTCTTCAGAGGATGTCGTCGATCAACATTTAGGGCATCGCCACACCACTCTCGAAATGTGCAAAATGAGAATGAATTTAACACTAGAACATGGCCAGACGCACCCGCCACGTTTTTTTGTCTTTTTCACATTTCGAGAGTGGCGTGACGAGGCCCTTAGTATTTCGTGAATTTGGCCAATATATAACTCTCTCTTCAAACGGATGAAAGTCATGTAATTAAGATACTTCTACCCCCTCAAACTGATTGAAAGAGGGGAAAAACAAGAAAAAACAAACGACAAAGCTTCAGGAAAACCTCGTTTTGAGGAGCACAAAAAAAAAAAAAAAAAAAAAAAAAAACAGACCTGGATTGCTTCCAAAAAGCGGGAGAGGCGATATCCCTTTGTTTGCGGGGGCCCCGGTTCACGGCGCGTTCCACCGCCGCCGGTACCAACCGACCTAGCCGCCCTCGCCCAGCCATCTCTGTTGGTGCGTGCGAGGGTTCACACGAATCACGAAGGCGATTGGGTATGTCTGACCACGTTGATTCGGTAGGCTAGCCCCGCACAGTGAGACCAACTAAAAGGGCATACTCAAACCAGGCCCTCAAAGTCGCAAATCGCAAAATCAGCGGCCAGATAGACGACCGCAAAATCAGCGGCCAGATAGACGACTCCTTTTACAAGGGCTTGATCTGGCCGCTGATTTTGCGATTTTGCGGTTTTGCGGTTTTGCGGTTTTGAGGGCCTAGTGTGAGTATGCCCTAAGACTCACACTTAGACCCGAACAAGAAGCCCCCGGGCTGGGTGTAGCACTCATAGCTACAATTACGACAGCGGTACGCCTCCTCGGGAGAATCGTACCACAGCCACAACGTGGAAAACATGGAAGTTGACGAAGGTGCCACCACCCCCCAACCTCACGTGGGAGACGTTGGAATGGTTGGAGCCGATGGGGAAGCAACCTCGCCCCACAGACAGACGGTAGAAGACGAAGGGGCGGAAAAAAAAAAAAAAAAAAAAAGAAGAAGAAGAAGAAGAAGACGAAGGGGCGAACATCCAAAACCGGTCCTCCTCCTCAGGCACAGACAAATTACTGGGCCGAGGAAGAACGGGTCACGGACATGCTAGGGAAATGCTGTGATATCGGCATCCTCCCTGCGGGTTGGGATATCGGTGAGCTGAAAGAGGAAGGAACCAAGGCCCATTTTACTCTGAACCCGTCTCTTGACGAGATCAACCACCAATGGATGGAGCCTCCCCGGAAAGTGTTAGTGGTGGCTGCTCTTTTTTTTTTTTTTTTTTTAATTCCAAAGGTGGATAAGAAGTTTTCAAAACACAACAGCTCTATAGGATACATAGAAATATTCTCGACAGTTCTATAAATCGAATGGGGTGTTTTTCAGAAGTATAAGTCTAGTGATTTTATGACAATTAGAATGGTTCTTAGGTAAGGTCTTGGGTAGTCGCAACCTCTGGGAGGTGCAGAGTCTTCTGTAGTGCTAGGCTACTGTAGGAATGTTAGTAGTAGAAGAGAGATCTTGGGACGAATTTTAAGCTAAACCGGCTGATACTGCCGGGATAACTCCGGGTTGAATTGTGAATTAAAAAACAAAAACACAACAGCTCAACCGAAACATCTCACAATCCAAAGAAGAACAAAAAACCGCACGCGCTCTCGCATTTCCGGTACATCTCACGAAGTGCATGACAGGCTGTACAAACTTCCACCCCGATCGCACCTAGAAGAGGTGCGCAAGCAGTATTAAACCCCTACCAACCCCTCTCATAGACTCATTCCCTCCCTCCCTCCCTCCCTCCCTCCCGCGGTGGCTGCTCTTATCATCACACCTAACACCGACTCGGGCTTTCAAAAAAAAAAAAAAAAAAAGGCTCGAGGAGTGTTAGTGGTGGCTGCTTTTATCACCACAGGAGCGTACCGTCACGGTAATATTTCAAGAAGTCTCCAAGAATCTAGCCTAGAAAATCAAGGAAGGAATTATCCGAGCATTTGAAGACAGCTGGATGGGCTAGGAACGCTTTGACCCCTCGCTTACTCGCGGTCGGGGCCGGGTCTGCATGGAGTCAAGCAACGTACTCTTGTACATCGCCTAGGAACATTTTGAACCCTCAATTACTCGCGGTCGGCGCCGGGTCTGCATAGAGTCAAGCAACGTACTCTTGTACATCGCCAAAGACACAAGTGGCAGAATGGATGATCCAGGAAGGCGAAAGTAGAGTGGCGCTCCCCCGTAGATGGTGCAGCATCGCTTTTAAGCCATGGCTGACCAAGAAGGAGATCCAGGACTGAAGAAGAGAAGCGCCCAACAACTATTTCTGGATTAGAATTCTGGGCGTTCCTGTTGATGCCTTCTGTTACTTGGAATCTGCAGGGGAGCTTTCGATCGGGCAGGTAATCAAAGTCTACCCATCGGAACGGGATGCAAGGAAGCCACAGCTAATCAACGTACGGATAGATATGGCAATTGACGCACTACCAAGATTGAAGGAAACTCTATCCTTCACAACCTTTCAGGGTCAGCTAATTGAGCTCCTTGCTAGCAATGACACGAAGAATGTCGGCAAGGTTCATTTGGAAAACAAGGGGCTACACAGACCAAGGCTTCATCTCAAAGGTAGTGTGGGAGCTCATCACAGAAAGGAGGGCTAGGCATCTGCGACCCACAACGAAGAGATTATTTAATGCTGGCCAACTGGATTATCAAGGCTGCAGACAGCGACGGTACAAAGCACTGGGTACAGATGGGAGAACACATCCCATCACCAGAATGAGGACTCGCTCGCGAAGAGGATGTCTGGATATGCCTCCAACTGGAATCTTTCCTGAACAGGAAGATCCAATCCAGATTATGTGCAGGTGTAATCAAGGCGTGGAAAAAGGTCAAACCGGCAGAGTGGATAACGCCGGTTACAAAGACAGAGGTCCTCAACCAACCACTGTTCGACAACCCGCATGTTGTAGATCAACAAGGCCACCAATTCAAAGCAAACAGAGAAGCAGGTAGCTTTGGTGATAAGTGGATTGGAAGAGGAATCCTCTGTATTGCAGATTTATGTGACACCCTGACGGGGGACAGGACACCGATAAGCGACCTGAGACTCAAGCTGGAAAATCTCCACAACATTGACGACAAGCTTGCGGATCTTATAAGGCCGATTTCGCAGTCGTGGAAAGATTGCCTAGCCCCGAAATCTGTGGATCCCCCGGGTACCTGGTACATTACCGGAACCCAGGCCGATCAACCGGTCTACTGGAAGCTGACCTCCTTCTCGGATGACAGATCTAGAGACTTTCAAAGATGGGACAAGGCCCCCTACTTTGAATCCCATATCTGCTACATGTGACGAACCACTTTCTGTAACGCGCGATTTTCTGCGCGGATGCAACAAGGGGTCCTAAGCTGGGGAGGTTGGGCCAATTACGGGAGATCGGGATCGGTGGAAAATTGCATTAGTGTCCTTGCTTTTTCGTCTTTTTCGTCGCTTCTTTTCGAATGAATGGGTTCGGAGCTGGGTGTGTCCTGGGATGGCTGGTTGATTGATTGGTCGGATGGATGGATGGCGCGCCCCTGCGCGCGCGATTAATAAATGTTGACGTCGTTTCCTTCGTTTCGGTTTCGATCTTTTTGAAATTCATTTTGAGTCTTTTTCGAATTTTGTCGAGCCCCGATGGCTCTCGGAATTTCAGACTTCTTCCCTGAAGTTCGTGCTTTTTGCTTCTTCGCATTAAGTAGGAATTTAGGAATTCAGTAATTATGATTTTTTTGGCCGCGCGGCGCCTTTTGTCTACGCGCCTCTTCATGCGGCTGCAACGATACCCTGATTAGTAGGCGCCCTTAACCGTGTGCGCAACTATAATTTTGGGCGGGCACCATTGTAACTGTATCTTTCTTCTTGCACTTCGTCTCTCCCGCCCTCCCTCTCTTTCTCTTGCTGTGATTTTTGTAAGTCGCGGGTTGCATGCTCGGATCGATGCATGGAGAAGGGCTACGTCCCCCACGCCGTGGCCTGATCATGCAGAACGCAGGCGCTCCCTCTCTAATCCCCGTTCTAAGTCCTAGTAATTCCGTGTTCTTCGCGCATATACGCACAATATAAATTCCTGTTGCGCGAAACGACGTTTTCGTTAAAAATGAACTGTTTTGTAAAAAGTGAACATAATGAAATTAATGAAGTAACCGAACAAAAGGTAAATTATAGAAAAAAAAAAAGGATTTTAATATTCCGGCACAATGTAAACCTGGAGCAGAAAACTGTCCAAATGATTAGAATATAAACGAAAAAAAATGACATCGTATGCGAAGGAAAGAATTGCGAAATTTGTAAAACCCTTGACACATTCAAACAAAGAGCAGCTCTCCAAAGTCCAACTCTTAGACCTTAAGGTGCTTTAAACTATAAGAACACCCTTCATATGGAGACCGTGGAAGGAAAATTTAATGCAAAAGTCCATTGGCAATTATGTTAAAAGCAAAGCAGTGCCATTTATATCAGCTCAATGGTGCGTCAGACTCTATGAACTCTCAAAATTACACATTGTCAAAATCTTCGTCAAAGCTGACTATAATTGAAATCAACTTCTAGGCACTGCTAGATAATATTCAAACCGTTACGATATTCTAAGGCTACTTGAATCAGATCTAAGTACGTAATGAACATATTAACACGATCTGCGTGATAAATTTCACGCTCTCCTCATGTGAATTGTCCAATCTTCTACATTGCTCGTCTCATTGTGCTCATCGAACGTGGGGTCCTTGTGCTCTACATAAGTTTCTATGACTTCATACTCTCGCAACAGAAGACTTCGTAAATATGTAATCGCTTTGTCCACGAGCCCATCCACGAGTGCTTTGAGCGACGGTTGGTCCATGATCCTCCTTTCAAATGCTTCCCGTCTTCGTCCGTCGATGTCATGTGCATTGGATATGTTTGCACTTGTAGAATGATCGTTATGAATAAGAAAAGAAAGTTTGCAGCGCCCTTGGATACTTGACGCTGCACAGTACAAGGTCATCACCTTGAAGTCGTTKTGGTAGAACTTCAATGCTGAATAGTACAATTCTGAATACGGTGCGAGCACTTCTCGCGGATATTCTCTTGTTCCACAACACCTACGACCACAAATATACAAACATTGTTGAGGATAATGCTCCCAGCAATCCGGTGCGACATCCACACCTCTGACACTGAGTACTGCACCCTCGAAAACCACTTCAGGTGTGAAAAAGATAGACCCCATATCATGTCATACATTTCTGCCCCACACCATATTGCTTGGCGGCCATCCAGTCATTGAATGAACCATTCTGCAATACATGAAATACAGAAGCAGTAAAAGGCAAGCCAATGATATATAGTTTAACTATATATAAATGGAAGCTCAATGACTAGTAAATGGTACACC